ATTAATTTCCCAGTCAGTGCATGCCAGAATAACTTGGGGAGCTTGTTTAGAAATGCAGATTACCAGGCCCAAACATGGACTTATTGGGTTAGGCTTCCAGAGGCAGACCTGTATATGATGTTTGTAACAGATTTCCCCAGGATTCCTGATGCCAATACCTCCTGAGAACTGGAGATCTGGAAAAGCTGAGGGTCTTGAAAACAAGCAGTCAACATGCTATGTTGATGGATTCAGGCAAACATTCTTCTTCAATTACTACATTTTATTCTAAAAACTTGTTTTATAAAGTTAAATAAAATGAATTCCTGTAATATACATAGAGACACAGGTATTTTTTTAAAGTAAATATGTTCTAAAAGAGCTTAATAGTCATAACTGAATAGACATGAAAATTGAAAACCTAAATGCCACTGCTGATATAAATGTGGCTCAATTAGCAAAAATTTAGAAAAATTCGTTGAACAGCTCCTATGGGCAGAGTGCTATGCTAATTAATTTCAGAAGCTACAAAATAGTATAGGAATAAGCTACAAAATAATATAGAAATTGTTAAGGAACTTTAATCCAGTTGAGAGCCAAAGAAGTCACATCAGAAGAAGGTTAATAATAACCACAGCCAAACACAAATAAAGGTGTGTTCTAATTTCCTTCTGTGAGAAATACTGTGGACCCAGTGGATTGCCTTCTCATGTCCTTGGAATACAGGACTGTGTCTCCTTCATCTATTTGTCTTTGGTTCCTGACGCCAGGTGCTCTTAATTCTAAGTGATATGAATTAAACTCAACAGTGATATTTCTCAGAAATTGAAATAAAATTTTAAAATTAGAGCATAAATATTCTTTAGTGTCTCTTTTGTTAGTTTATTCATTCAACATACAGTGTTTCTTACAAGGCAGTATGACTACAAAATGTAGGACAACATGAGTAACATAAAGATGAACAATATAGAGGAGAATCATTAATTTTCTTCCCTCAATAAGTTTATTTCACACCCTGAACTCCATACAGTTAGAACATGTGCACTAGAAGTAACCATAAAGACGTAAAGTGTTACTATTATGTGAAAATATTGAAGATTGTTTAAAAAATAACTCTTGTTTACATTTCTTAAAACATGCTTGAAGTATGTGCCGAGAGTTGATCCTATTAACCATAGGCACATAGAGCGTGTGAGGCAATCCTACGTTTCGTTATCTGTGCAAAAATAGAGTTAGAACAGAATTTAAATGTGCCAGAACCCAAAGTTCTTCCAGATGTATCCTTTCACTGATTTCTGGAAAATTGTTTCCCAATACCTTCTCACAGTACATAGACCATGTTATAAGATCCACTTTGGACTTTTACAGAATCGATAGCATTGACTCATGCTGTCATTGTCATCAAAACAATGTTGTAAATATTCTCTCATCTTTCCAAGCTGCCTGGCATATTTTTCCCTTAGGCTTTGCAAGAGACTTTTTATATAGTTTTCCAAATTCCTACTCCCATTAATGACTTTTTTTTCTAAAACTGGACAAACATTTACTTAATCAGCTGTTTTAAAAACGTCATTTTCCCCCTCCAAGGGCCTTTACCCCTTTTGAATTAGATGGTGTTTATCAGGAAAATCCTTCTTAGTGCATGCTTACTATGATTGTGTATCTTTTTTCTTTAAGTCAACAGAAATAATACGGACTTCAATATTCTTTGGGTTTTATTGAGGCCTGATTTGGTGTGTACTTGAAAGAATGTGACCCCTCTAAGTAGAAGCATCATTTTCATTGAAAATTGGCCAGCAGTGTCCCCTCTTCTTCTCCTTCAGAGCGCAGTCTCAGTATTGATGCCTGAAACTGCATAACAAATCACCGCAAACCTAGCAGCTTAAAACAGCATGCATTTGTTACCTCACAGTTTCCTTGAGTCAGGAATTTGCTTGTGACGTAGCCGGGTTCTCTGCTCAGGGTCTCACAAGGCTGCAGTCAAGGTCTTGGCTGAGCTGTATTCTCATTTGGAGGTTCCAGTGGAAAGGGTCAGCTTTCAGACTTGCTCAGGGTGCTGGCAGAAATTTGGCAGGGTGGAGGGGTTGTTGTAGGACTGAAGGGCTGGATCTATTACTGGCTGAAGGTGGCCTCTAGGTCCTAGAGGCCACCCCCAGTTCCCAGCCATGTGGCCCTCTCCATAGGCAGTTTACAGTGTGGCAGCTTGCTTCTTCAAGGCCAGCAGGAGAGTTTCCCTATGCATCTGCTGGCTAGATGGGCTTTGTGTGTGTGTGTATGTTGGGGGTAGAGGGAGGAGATACATAATAATACAATCACGAGATTAATATTCTATCACCTTTGCCATATTCTTGGTTAAAAGCAAGTCTCAGGTCCCTCCCACACTTAAGAGAAAGGGATTATACAAAAGGGTGAACACCAGGAGGTGGGAATTATTAAAAGGTCACCCTAGGGTCTGTCCACCACAATGCCATTGAACAGAAACACTCAATGAGTGACCCTACTTAGATCTAAATTATTTTTATTACTCTTCTGGAGTCTAGTTGTCTTAAAGGAAGTTTGTAATTCTCTAACCAAATCAATTTTAGTTCTCTTGCCTTAAAAAAAAAAAAAAGCCATACAGCAATTCCTGGGCAAGGCCTAGAGAAGCTACAGGACCCAGGAGGGTAAAGAAGATGAGTAGGAAAGAGAAATAATGACCTCAAGCACATTGAAGAAGTCAAAATTCCAAAAGTTTAGGTATCACGAGTTGATGGTTTGTGTTTGCTTGTTTCGTGATTTATTTTGCTTTGATTTTCCACCAGTGTTTGGAACTACCTGTGTCTCATTTGTCTCTCTTTTCAAAGTTGACTGTTACTGCCAACTTCAACAGTTCATAGAATTACCATCTACTTCCTCACTCAGTCCCCTTTGCACGACACCTAAATCCTCTGAAGAAGTAAGTCTGCTTTTGACTTGAGAACTTGAACACTGGGATCTCGCTTGCCATCTGTCTTAAACTTTTAAAGTAACTTTTTGCCAAGACACGTGGATTATGAGCAACAACCTGGGACACTTCTGGTCTCAGAACAGGAAAAATAAAGGAACCCTTAAGTATTATTTTAAGTACTTTGTTTGCTAGCAGTGTTTGTGGTGAATGATAAATTGATCCTTAATTGTGTGGGAAATAGAGAAGTGATCTGCATGTCAATGGCCAAGTATAGACTTCAGAGACTTAGCAGTTTTGAAACTGATATTTATGAACATCTGCTTTTTCCCCATAAATTTTAATATGGATTTCGTCCTTTGAAACCTGCAAAACTCCCAGGTGCTTCTTCAGTCTTTATCTTGGAAACGTGCTTTTTTAAAACATCTCCTTTTTTTATCGAACACATTCAACATCACTTTTGCTAAAACAACATTTCTTTATAAATAGTGCCTATTGGAATGCCTAAAAGATGGTATTAAATGTTAGCAGCTCAAAACACTGTATTCAGCATTTTGAGCCTCCAAAATGTCCAATCCCAGAACACAAGCCGTAACAGTCTTAATAAAGGATGCTAAAAAGAATTCATTTCTAGTCCCAGTTTATGCCTTTCTTTATCCCACAGATATTTATTTAATGCTTGCTTATTTTTAGTGCTGACATTAGAGCAGCCAATAAAACAAAGTCCCTGCCTTCATTGGGTTTTTGTTCCAGTGAGTGTAAATGTTCCTGAAAAAGAATTCACTTTAAATTTTCATAATACTGTTCGTATAGTTCATTGGAAAACTTTGCACTGGTCCTGCAAACCAATGATGTTCATCCATTCTTGATGTTGGACTAGATTCTGGGGTTATAACTTGTGGACGCAGTAGATATGTTTCTGCTCTCAAGGAGCTTAGAGTTTAGCATACTTCTCACCTGTGTCAAGAAAGGCAGACCCAGGGAACTTTGAGGTAGGATCTGGGTAGCCACTGATCATTCTCTATTTTAGATCCACTGTAAGCAGGGCTAACAATGCCTCCATCCCTTGGCTCTTGGCATACTAAGAGCCATTACTATGGGTAGAAGATGAGTGTGTGGACCAGAGGAAAGGAAATAAAATCACAGCTCAATAGACGACAAACAGAGAAATCAGCTGGGCACGTGCAAGGCTAGAAAAGACATTAAATCCCTGCTAGGAAAGCAACTTTTTAAGAGTGCAATTCTGACCACTCTGTAGCAGAGGCTATAAGTCATTTACATAATAGGAAAGCCTCAGGAGGATAGTAGAGCTATTTAATTTGGTTAAGCTAATAGTTTTCCATCCATTTACAGTGTAATGGAACCTCCCTTCTCTGCCTCTTAAACAGGAACACATTGGCAGGTTGCCACAGGGCACATAAAACAGGGGCGGTCTTCTTGGTGTGTCAATTCTACTCAACCATTTAGAGGGGAAAAGATAATTAATTTACTGATAAGTAATTTAAGGCATTATTTTCCATTAAAACCAATGCAGCCATATAATGGACTAGCATGCAAAATTTGCATCCACTTTTAAGATAAGCATGAAACTAAAACAGGGCTGGAGCCAAGGGCTGAGGGATTAAACCCTCTCACACATTTTCTATCAGCCCCCTGTGAAGCCAACCTAATAAAAATAATTTTTTGGTATGAATAATTGATCCTCAATGTTATGTAAAGTGTAAATAAAAGACAAGTCCCCCAGAAGCATTCCTTTCAACCACACTGCCACTTGGATACCCCAACTTTTTAGAAATTCTGGAGCTGCTGTTAGATGTAAGAAAATTCTGGGCCACTTCACTTCCCCACAGCCTGACGCCCAGCCCTGGGGCCCATGCTCGCTGCCTTCCGCATTTAAGAGCACTGCCCTGGGAGAGTTTGAACTTGCTGCTGTGTTCCAAAATGGGCCAAGAGAGGTTGGCTCAATGCCCCCTCCTTGTGCCTGGCAGTGAATTTGAGCCCTGGACGTCCTGCTTCCATATCCCATTTTCCCCCTCTCAGAATGCTATGCGGCAGGCAGACCCACTTATGTTCTTTGTGCTTTGTGTTCCTGAAACAGGATCTGGACCAGGTACAGCTGCATCTGGAAGAAGTGAGGTTCTTTGACGTGTTTGGCTTCAGCGAAGCAGCAGGAGCGTGGCAATGCTTCATGTGCAACAACCCTGAGAAAGCAACTGGTAAGAGCCTCCCTCCCCTGGCTGCTGAGAATCACTTGTGCCCCTGGGATTTACAGGGATGCATGATCCCCACCGTTCTGGTTGGCTTTCTTCTTGCATAAACATCCTAAGTTGGCATAATGCACAGAGGTGGGCCTGACTGCCTCTGCTTCTTGCTGAGAAAGGTATCTCACCAAAGTGGGAGTGAGAAAAAGGGAGGATGTTGAAAGGGAGAGAAACATAAACGAGAAATGAGCAAGAGAAACAATGCCTACAATTATATGGCTATCAAGAAAGTGGTACTGGCCATTTTGCCCTGAAAACATTCTTCATTTCGACCCCGATGACCCTGAGGGTTAGAGAAAAACAAGCATCCTGTCAAGAAGCCCAAGGAAACGAGACCACACTAAATGAGTGAATGGTTGCACAGGCCTCCTCATCTCATAGTCCTCCCTTACATTTGTGCTTGATGATTGAACTGGGTGAAAAGTGAGACATTTAAAGAGTAAGGAATTATTTGAGAAATAGCTTCATAGCTGGTTATTTACCCTTCCCTTCCTTTCTGCTGCCCAAGGAACTTGGTCTACTGACCTTGCCTAAAAAATAATCATTGTTGGTGAATCTGAGCCAAGCTCTATGTTAAACATGTCAGTATCTCATTAACCTTCACAGTAATCTCATAAGGCTAGTACTAATATTATCTCCATTTTACTGATGGGGCAACTGAGGCACAGAGGGATTTGGGAACTGCCTGAGGTCACACAGGTAATAAGTTAACAGCGTCTGGATTTGAACTCAATCTGACTCCAGAGCCCACGCTCTTAACCAACTCTCCATGCTCCCTCCCAGTTACGCTTGCCCCAGTCTGACCAGTGGAAATAGGTTGATAAAAAGTCTAATCTTCACAAAGTTATGCTGTCCTTGGGAACAGAATACTTTATCACCCATGTGCCCTCTTAGAAGGCATAGAGCTCTCAACACTGACACTGCTCAGGAACTGCAGTTTAGACCAAGAGAACGGTATTAAAACACTGTTGAACACAAACCACTTTGTAGATGAACCATCCTCTAGAGAGCCGTTGATTATACCACCTGTACCCATTCCTTGAATTGGGGGATTTTGTGCATCTTAAAGATCATCCATTGTGGCAAGTCTATCCTCTTGCTCAGCCAAGAAGTTGAGACTGAATCGGGAAAAAAATGTGTTCATTTGGCCAGATGGAAATGTGAGGGGCTCTCAGAGAGGCACCAACTAAAATGTATTACCCCACAGAGATGGTATGGGTGGAAGAAGCTGGCATTAAGGATAGCAGCCTTCGCGAGGCACACATTGCTGGATGATTACAGACCAAGTTTGAGTTGATGCCAGAATGAACGCCCCAATTTTTAAAAAGTTAATTTGAGCAAAGAAGGAATTGAGGAACTGAATGTCTCCATTATGAAACTTTCTAATTAGACCTTATTTCACCTGTGAAAAAGACAAAGCATAAAAGAAACCTTATTTGAGATCGTGGCGAAGTAAGGTGCTTATCTGAGGTGGCTCTGAGGGGCCCTTAAGAATTTCATTCCAAGTAAGCTGAGTCCTTACCTTAGTTCAATAAACATTGAATCGTATCTGGCCAAGGGAGGCTCAGGAAAGGGCCTGCAGGTTAAAACCACAAAGTGCTCCTTTAATATATGTTTTCTCAAATTCACTGCCATGCACTTGAAAAGAACATTTTGCACATTCACTCGTTCTTATTTGTGTTTCTCACAGTTAAATATAGACTGAGAACATATAGCAATAAAAATTCAAACAAGGCCAAATATTTTATAGCAGAACATTCTGAATCAAAATGTTCGGTGCCGAAAACTTAGTGTGCTTAGGTTTCTTTTCTCATATCCTTTTGCTCCATGAAAGGGGATTTGAATCTGAGAGAAATCCTATTTTAAATTATTATTTTCACCAAAAACTCTTGACTCCCTGAAAAGTTTATATAGGTTGTTGATCTAATTTTCTTATTTTTGTATAGCATATAAATTATATATTTAAGTGAAAGGTCTAACATAATACTGCTGACACATATATTATTCATAGGGATGATATTTGCATTCATGTTATACTTAAATTGTAAGTTTAAAGGTGATCAAGACATAAATATTGGGAAAAAAAATTTTTTTTTCCAAGGAATAAATATTTTGTTATTTGGTTATGCACAGCTAGCATAGTACTTGGGTCCCATTTTTCATTTATGAAATGCACGTTTGTTGTTTTGTTTGAATGTCTTCTCCAGGCTGAGCCTTGGGATAAAATATGAATAAGGTACAATATCTCTGCTCTGAAAGGATTCATAATCCAGTTAGGGCCAGAAGACATATATGGAAACATCTAACATACTTCCTTGTATGTTTTTAGCATGCAATAAATACCTGTTGAGTGAGTCAATGAATGAATAATACTTAGAAATGGAAAAGTCAAATACATCTTAAATATTAAAATGTTTCAAAATTGTGATTATGTGTTAATAATATCAAGTACATCACTATACCATACCCATTGCATTCTGGGTCTGGTGAATGGAGGTTGGTGCTTCTTTCCTCTTTGAGAGAAGTCACCGTGTATACATCAGAGTCTGCTTCCCTGTCTTTGCTCCTGATGTACTGTGCCCAAGTCCTGTTACTGCTCTGGTTTGGTGAGCGCTCCTGCAAGGCCCAGATGCCCTGTCAGCCTCAGGGAGGAGGGATCTAAAGAGATAGGATTGGTGCCTAGGACAAAAGGCTGAAGAAATTGCATTTGGGTTTTTTTTTTTTTAAGGTATTGACAAATGGTACAATGTTCTCAAATATTTGTTGTTCCAATATTTTCAATGAGGCCATTAGAACATTTCAGTTAGACATCAGGAAAGTCATCCTGAAATATAAATCCTTCTTAATAATGTGTAAACTAAACTGTGGGACTCCAGAAATTGACAGCAAATCAACTGGCTTCCATGGTCACTTTAAGGACATTCTCCTCCTTGGGTAAAAGTCACATCACCCCACCAACTCCCAGTCATCTTCCCATCAACTCTACCATCAACACACAGAAATGCACAGAAGTTTACTATTTGGTATTCAGAAAAAATATTTTTTTTTCCAGTTGGGTGTGAAGTCAGAGGAAACTAAATGCTAGCATAGTGTAAAGGTCTTAAAATTATAATTGCTGGCATTTATCATACTAACTATGTGCTAAGTCTTACATGCATTTTTCTCACCATTATTGAGTCCATTTTACAGATCAAGAAACTGAAACACAGAGAGAGGTTAAGTACTTTTTCCAAGGTCACACAGCTACTAAGTGGTACAACTAGGATTTTAATCCAGGTTAATTCCTGAACCTGAAATTTCAATCTCTAGGGCAAATCCAAGTTAAGCACATGGAATATTGAAAATTACAAGAACAGTTATTTCATAATGTTATATTGCATTGGAAAGACCAAGGAGTGATCTACTGATACCTCTCTGATGACTTAATCTACTCAAAGATGAGCAGGGGTTTTGGTATGATAATGTGTGGGAAATGATTACATGTAGGAAATGGTTACGTAGAAGCTATTTCCAATCCCTCCAACTGCTGATTCAGTTTCTGATAATCATTTTATAAAAGTACAGAGTAGAAGGTTAGAAAGTCACTGAAGTAACTCAAGAATCCTCAGAGACTTGCTTGTTGGTGTTTATTGCCAATCCCATTACCCCACATGAATGAGAGAATAGAGGTTGAGCAAATAGATCAAACAGAACAGAATCTATTTCTGGAAAACCAAACACATCCCTTTATCAGTCATCCTTGCGTCCTGGAACTACTAGTGCATGTTAACAGTAAGAATTAATCAGCTGGACCGTCCTGGAACACATCTGGCTGTCTATTCAGTCACATTGTTTTTTTTAAAGGAAGAAGAGGAACTAAATCATGACTTTCACTCTTGTTTCTTGAGACACATGGGATGCCTTTGTTCTTACAGCCTACAGAAAACAACTCAGCGATGTCTTGGTTTTGGCACTTGTGTCTCCCTCTGTAGATCTGAGCACTCGCCAGTGGGATCACTCTCTTAGTCACTGGATATTTAGATATTGAATGTGATTGTCTGTAGGAGGTCTCCTTAGGTTATAAAAGAGAATGAAAAACATTTTTTCAGACAGACTTCAACCATCTATCTTGATTCCTCTTCAGAACTTGATTTCAAACATTTGTGCTATAAGACCATGCTGTCCATTATATCACATGGGCAAATAGAGATGGTTTCAAAATGCTATCAGGATAAGAAAGACCTCTGTCAGGAGATATTCTTCAGACACTAGAAACTGGTAACAGCAGTGTGGCTCTCCTTTGCTGGACACCTTCAGCGTGAGCTAGATGGCTTTCCACTCCAGACACCAACATGAAAATGGGCTAGGGACTTCCCTGGTGGTCCAGTGGTTAAGTCTCCGTGCTTCCACTGCAGGGGGCACAGGTTCGATCACTGGTCAGGGAACTGGGATCCTGCATGCCGCACGGCGAAAAAAAAAAAAAGAAAATGGGCTAAATGACCTCTGAGGACCGAACTCATAAGACATAAATAGCCTGTGGGTCCATTAGTATGAAACTTTTCCATTTAATTTTAGTGCCAACTTTCACAGAACTTTAAGGGTGACAAAAGAAAACCCACTTTGGATTTATGCAGTGACTGGGTTTGTCTTATGATGCCTTCCCTCCTACCACAGTGTGTGAGCATGTTGTCTTCCATGTTAAATGTGGTTGGAGTGCCAAAAACAGGACAGTGGTTGGGCAGGATAACATCACATTTTCATACGTATATACTGTTAATGTCTCGGTTCATAAGACTGAACCCCAGACTGTTGTTCAAAGATACTTTGAATTAGTTAATGACAAAATAAATACATGCTCATCAACTCAGATAAGTTATTATCCTTATCCTGAAATCTTTTTCCCTTTCCCCTCTTCCCATCTCCCTGTTCTATGCCTCTCTGTTAAGCCTTCCCACACTCACATTCTCTCTCTGTCT